ATCTTCAATTGAAATATTTGATTATAATATTGATTATTGCAATCATAAAATAGAAATATCTGAATTTAAAAATATATATAGTTAATGTATAAATAGAATGATTGACTTGACATTCGAGATATGTCTCTTGATTATTAGAAATTTTACTATGTTTGACAGTTTAGATAGAAAATTTGAATAGAATATCGTAATTGAAACATTTTTAATTATCTTTAAACAAGTTTTGCAACTACACATCTTAATTCGTTGGTAGAGATATGACGTTCTGGCAGCGAATCTGTTAAATCAATATTAGTCTATTGTTCCTAGTAAATTTCAGAGAACTGCAAACATCTTTTAATTGGACAACAAATTCATAAACGCGTATTAATATAAAATTAACATATACTCGAAATGAACTGATTCAATAATTCAAAAATTAAAATTGCCGAAAAGAAAAACTACAAGTCAATGCTAGTTGGTAGGTGCTTGTTATTTTAATATTTATCGAAAGGATATACATAAAAAATAATACAACATAAAGTTAACAATAATTTTAAAATAGAACTTTAAATACAAAAGGAAATGTGTCTCTGCCTTGGACCATTCAAATCTGGCAAAACTCTTTTAATGAAAAGTCTCCAAGGAGACGAAATCGACGATGCGACTCATACTGTGCCTACTAACGGAATAAATATATATACTGTAAAAAATGATACTGGTGAATTCGATATGGTGATTAAAGAAATTGGCGGTAATATGGCACCGATCTGGAAGCATTATTTTGATAAGGTACTATATTATATAAAACAAAAAAAAACAATCGCATCTTAATAAACATATGATATATTTAAAGTATTGCATTTTTTTATCATTATTAGATTCATAAAATCATCTATGTAGTGGATACCAGTAATCTTTGTCAAATAAGTGCTGCAGGCGTACTACTTTACTCTTTTCTCGTGGAACCGAGATTACGGAATGTGAAAGTAGCACTCATCTTGAACAAGATGGATGTTTCGTATCGTCAGATGAGAAACGAAGCTTTGTTGATGTTACAATATGCGCGTCTGCAAAAGGAGGTGACACAGAAGATCACCGTGCTGGAAACCAGTGGTATGACGGGTCAGGGAATAGAGAGTTTACGCAGCTGGCTATTTGATCCGGAAACGCTGCGAATTACGCTCAAGGCTAATAAATAGGCTAATAAATTGTCGCATGATGAGAGAGAACGTTACCTTAAAATGCATTTATTTTATTTACACTCGATCTTACAAAGATACAAAGATATTACTCTACAAGAATCTTCGAGCATTCTTTGAAAATAATTCATTAACGAATGTTAAACGTATATTACTTCTATGTTATACGATCAATTCTAAAAATAAATACTGCAACGGGAGTTGACGCGCATTGACAAATGCTGATTGTCAAAATAAATTCTCACGCAATTGTTACAAGTGCTAAAAAAAAAAAACAATTTTATATATAGAAAAAAGGGGCCGGAAGATAAGAGAAAATTTATGTCGTTCTTTTCATGCATCAGCGATAATAAAAGTAATCGTATAAACATTCGCTCCCGCTTAAATCATCGATTGAAAATCTTTTCTATGTATATCTTCTAATATTTCTTATAGATACATTCAATAAATTTAAAATATTGTTTACTTATACGACATTTAATGTATCCTTGTAAGATCTTCCACTATTTTTACAAGATCATCTACCGTCGCCTCTTTCTTCATGCCGCTGCCATCGTCGATCTACGGAAAAATAGCGCATTAAAAGATTTAGGAAAATTAATTCAATATGCTCATATACATGAGTCATACATCATTAATTCGGGAATAGTTTACCTAATTTTTTTGGCACAAACGATTACCTAGAGTGATTTTTACATCCCAATTAAAAGTTACTATCATTAATTACATATTATATATTATTGATTGTTCTATGATTTATATTAGTATTTAAGATTATTATATAGATTAATATATAGATAGACTTTAATAAATAGATAATAAATATATATTATTAACAAATATATATATAAATATATATTTGTTAATAAAAAACTAAAAATAATTGAACTATTTATTAGTAAAATACTATAACTGACTCCATTTTCTTTCTGTCGATGTAAAAATCACCTGAGGTCATTATTCCCAATAAAAAAATACATGATTGAATTACCATAAGACCCATTGCGACTTCTGCCATTTTATCATGGTTCAAATCGAGGAAACTTTCTATTAAGTCGCCATCTATAAATCCTTCACACTGCTCAATCTTCAATTCCGTATTAAAACTTCTCCAGAAGTTATGTTCTATCTTGCCCACACTTTTTATCACGCTGTTTAATCTGTCCTCCATATTACGCAGAAATTCATAAAATGTAACTGGTATTTGTGTCACCAGACCGATCGCACCGCTTACAGTGCCGAATAACACACAACCTAGAGTTGGCGTACTTGATTCTCCCAAATTTTGCATCACCAACGAACCATGCCGAAAAACATTGACCATATCACCCAGATGAAATTGACCTATTTCCTGCATCTGTTGTCTTTCATCTTCAGATGTTGCAGCGCTAGAGAGAAAGAACAATTGTCCATATTTAAAATTATTTTATTAAAATCATACTAATAGGGATGACACATGGCTCTATATAAAAGCGATTGACTCATAATCGATGGATTTTTATCGTATATATATTTCGGTTTTTAAAAAAGACATTGATGAAAAAGAAAATTAAAGATTGTGAATATAAGAACTGATAACGAAACTCGTTTCGAGCAAACTATATTTTCAAATAAAAATATACACAAATCTATAATGTTATTGCAAACATACCTGTCCTTTTGACATACAAAGAGATTGAAGCAATTTTCAGCGCCCAGAAAAGTATCGTCGTCTAATATTTCGATAGAAGTCATCCAATTGGGATTATAGTCTCTAGCTATTTCCTCAAAGCTGCCTTCCATAGTCTTATATTGAAGCAACGTGAGAGATCTCATAAGATCTCCCACAAGGACAAAGTCGCCTTTGGTTTTCAAATATAGCGCTATGATATTATTAAAGTGACTGCACTCCAATCTGAGCTCCTTTTCTGCAGTCCATTCAAACAATCTCACAGTACTATTGATGCTCGCCAAGAGTTTTCCATTAAATTCAACCAAGGAATAGCACGAACCCTTGATCTCTTTTTCCGCAACTTGCGTGAACTTGCCCTCGCTCCAATGATACAGCAGTATCCTACCCATCTTGGGCTCAGTCTCATCGGGATTTATAAACGCGGTCCCAACAACGAAATAAGAAGTCGGATCCTCACCCAATCTTGTTGAGATCAACGATAGCGCATATTCAGTAGCCATCAGCGTGTGTGCATGTAGAACCTCGAATGTATGCTGATCAATAATAAGAAGATTGTGAACCTCAATCTCTTGACCAATCTCACTGGCTGTGTGTCCACTGGGTTTGTTGTGTGAGACAACGTGGCTGCTACTGGATGTGGATGCTGCCTGGGTAGACGCGGAATGCCTGACGATGCTCACACCACTGCTCTCCTGTACATCGACGCGCATGGTAATCACGCCAAAGGTCTGCGAACTTTCTTGATAAGCGATTCTTCGTGGAGATTCCCCAAGCGGAACCGTTCTTATGTGCAGTTTTTGGATTTCGTCGATTGTACCAATAGTAACGGTGCTGTCAGTTGCCAATGCAAGACTATCAGGGTAAGATTCTGCATTCAGGGAGCACATGTGATTCACTTCTTTGAGATTGACATTGCTGAAAACAAGCTTGTGATTTGAAGAATAAATAACAGTGGGCCTATCCGAGCACGCAAATACATTTGTTGTGGAGAGTGATCGGAAAGTCCTGAGAACAGTAGGTTGAGTGCCTAAGGTAACCTTCTTTTTATCCGAAAGCATACCGCTTTGTCGATGTAGAATAAAATAGTACATGCTGCCATCACCTAGTGCGCAAAGTAAGTATGTGTTACCCTCGAAACAAGTCATTAAAATGGACCTGGGTATAATCTCGCCCCCAAGAAGCTCTTTATTGATCTCTTCTAGATTGGGCAGAGTTAAGATTCGAACAGATATATCTGTCCAAAGTCCAACAGCAACAATCTTGGCCTCATTGACGCCATCCAAGGGAGAGATGTCCAGACATGCCACTTCATGTTGCAAGGTAACGAATCCTTTGGATACAATCTGATTGCATATAATCTCGATGTAGAACAGATCATTTCCTGTTGCACAAAGGACTTGGGTGCCATTACAGGCTACCACACTGATAGTTCTTTTGTTTTGTGGTTCCCATTCAGAAACCACTATTTTATTCTCGTGCGAGATTAGTCTAACAGAGGTCGAAGTTATTTGGATAAATAAATCATCGGTAACATTACCCGTATGGAACGTTTGTTCATCCGCAACAAAACCTGGGATATCCGTTTCTTCGACTTCTTCGCCATTTAAAGTTAAGATTCTAGTCTGCCCAACGAATGACAATACCAACGTGTTATCGAAATGTGAACCTCCAACCTTTAAAGCCCACATACCTTTAATTCCCGGCAGATCCATACTCGCATGTTCTTGTATGCCTATGCCGTTCCTAATAATCCTAAGAGAACCTTCTTTAAAGGCACCCGAGCATGTAACCATCTGTCCTTGGCCTTGTCTCTCCAAGTCTACTACAGCCATATCGACAATAGGCGCCAAATTAGTGAATGTCTCCATAGGTACACAATAGGATCCATTTTCATCTGCCTTTGTAATTAATTTAATCAATTGAGAATCACCTAAGCGACTACCAACATATATTACTCCATTGTCCAAATAAGTTATACATTCTGGTATACTGATTTCCCCTAATAGCTCAACTTTCAAGTCTTTTACCACTTGCGATCCATCGGGCTTCTTTTCTTGTTCCAAAAATAACATAAATAAATGACCAGCCATATCCCCTAATAAATACCTCAGTCCCTGATTATCTACCTTGGCATAGCAAGTTATAGTGCTCTGCTTTATAATTGGTGGCACCACTGCAACATATGTGGTACCATCATGATACAGAATACTTTCCTGTCCTATTATAATTGCTCCACAAATAGGAGAAGGTACAGGAATGACCATCATAGCCTCTCGCTCTACATTATCCTGCCTCCATGGTATCTTGGCAAATTCTTTATCTCTCAAGTTAATCTCATGTGTTTTTACGTGTCTACCATTGATATCTTGATGAATGAGAATTAAGGTAGGATTAGCACATCCATGGAGAAAATTGACATCTTGTACTTGCTGTTCATCCATACGGATTGAAGATGCTTTCAATTCCGGATTATCTTTATCCAAAGGTATAATTTTAAAGAGGCCATCGTACAATCTAAGACCGATAACTCGTGCTTTTGGATCAATAACAGCTTTAATTCCAGTTTCAGACGCCTTTCCGATACGATCTGCTACATTTCCATGAGCTTTCGTTATAATTTCTATATCCTCTCCTTCACCGATACATTCCAAGATCATGGCATTATAACGTGTTGTTAACAGAAATAGAAGATCTTTTTTTTCATGCTATCAAAAAATAAAAATTTAGTAAGTTTTACTGTGTAATTTAATCTCAGTTAAATCTATATTCAACATAATCCTTAATATAATATCTCAGCCCATCCCCCTGCAATATTTATACAAATTTTCATATCTTTACTAATGATACTATAGCAACAATTTCTCTTAAGAAAATATTTATTTATGAAGCATGTATTATATACATAGTGTATTTTCTAATAAGAACATAGTGTAATAACGCAATGAATAATATTCTTGTATAATAATGCAATGAATTATATTCTTGTTATTTGCTGATATTAAATAAGGATGAAATAATTTACTGAAATATGTTACACTATGTTCTTGCTGAAAAACATCCATATATTATAATATATTAAAATATATAAATTGATACATATACACACAAGTATATATATAAAAAAATAATTCACGCAAGTTACTAGACTCCTAAAAATAAAAATCAGAGCCTAAGTCAAACATAATGGGAGAGTAATAAAAGCGTAAACGAAACTTCTAGGAAGCAAAAATTGAAACATTAAAATGTAAAAGAAGCGTAAATGTTTCCTTTACATTTCATTATTCCAATTTTCACCTTTTAGAAGTTTTGTTCACGCTTCTGTTATTCTTCCATTACATCT